CCACGGTGCCCCCCCATCCCGATCCTCCCTCTGGATCCCATCCCGCACCCCCATTGTGCCCCTGGGATAATTCCCATGCTGGTGCCCCCGCCTCGTTGTGCCCTTCACCCTGATGGAGGACACCGTCCCCACCCCCGTTGTCCCCCCGGCTGTTCCCTCCTCCCCCAAAAGGATCCGCTTGGATCCAGGACGGGATCCGTGCGGAGAAGCGGCTCCGGCTCCGCGCGATCCCACCCTGCGCCGCACAAAGGACAGCGGYGCCGGAAGGGATCTGGAGCGGGCGGGGGGGTCGGGGCGGCTTTCCCAGCGTCCTGGGGGATTTTCCAACATTCGGGAGCAGCCGCTGCTTGGAAAACCCCTTGGCAGCAGCTCCATAAACCCCCCGGGCAGCCCCGGGGCTCCGGCCGCATCCCCAAAGCCGGGGCTGCCCCGCGTCCTCCGCGTGTCCGTGTGCCTCCGGTCCCTGATTTTGGGGAGAAGAAGGGATCCACATCCCTGATTTTTGGGAGAAGGAGGGATCCACTTCCTTGATTTTTGGGAAAAGGAGGGATCCACATCCCTGCTCCTTCGGTCCCTGATTTTTGGGAAAAGGAGGGATCCACTTCCCAGATGCCGGCGCTCGCGGCCGCCGCCTTTTGTTCTGAGCTGCCGGCGTCTTTATCCCGAGGGAGTGATGGGAATGGGAAGCGGGGGGGGCTCTCCAGGGGCTTCCGGTGCCCCTTCCCAAATCCAGGCTCCTTTTGGTGTCCAAAGGCTCCCATTTCCCGGTTGCAACGGCCCTTAAACCCGTCGCGCTGCTCTCGGCCGGCGCTAAAGCCTGGGAAGCCCTTGGCATAATAGCAAATCCCAGGGAATTCCTCTTAAAAACGTGTCCCCGATCCCRATTTTGGGAAACAATCCCTGCAGAAACGCTCGTGTCATTCTGGTCCCAGGCATTCCAAGCTCTTGGGAATTTTCCCGTTCCGTGCGGATGGGATTTTCCACCCGGAGGATCCGCGTGGAGCTCGGAGGCTTTTGTCCCTTTTTCCTCCCTTTTCTGCCGTGATTTTGAGCACCGAGCGCGGCYGGCGCCGCCGGAGGAGGCCGGGCTGGCGAGCTGGGAGAATCCCTTAATTTTCCGCGTTAAAATAATTTGTGTTTTCCTCCGCCGCAGATCAGCGCCTAAAGAGGAGCAGAGGAGGGGATGTAATTAAGGGATTTGTGCAGCTGGGTTTGAAAATTCATGAGTTGCGCCAAGATCCTCCGCGATCCGCGTGGCTTTTGGGGCGGATTCAGCCGCTTTCCTGCACAGTTGCATTTTTGGTGCTGCTTTTTTGGCAAAAAGACAGTCCCAAATGGGGCTCCGGGGCCCGTTTTAGTGTTTCCCTTTGGGATTTCCACCGTGTGGGGAGATAACGCAGCCAAATCCCGCCGATATCCTTGGGGATCCCATCCCACCTGGAAGCAGTGCTGAGAGGAAAGCGTCTCTTTGAGGAAAACCTTTCGTAATAAATTGAAATCCTTCTCGAGGGTTTCAAACCTTCCCAAGGTTCCTAATAAAAATTCTGTTAAACTCTTCCTCGTGCAGGGGAGCAAATAGATAAAAAAAATAAATAATGGCARCGCTTAAAGGATAACTAAAATGCAGGGGTTGATTATGGAAGAAAAGATTCCTTTTTCCAAGGGAACCACTTTTCTTTCCAGCCAGGAGATCACAGTAGTTTCTTCTGGTGTTGTCAGCGCTGAAAAAGTGCTGAAAAGCAGCATAAATAAGAAAAATAAGCACCCCCRCCTGTGAGAAATGGCTAAAAAGGGGAAAAAAAACCCTTTTCGACCTCTTTAAATGAGGGCTTRATAACAGCGTGTGGGGTTTTTGTTTCTTTTTCCTTCTTTTTAGTCAAATTACGGTCAGGAAAACCAGTTGGTCGCGTGTTGGAGGCGCCCGAGCGTGCGGCGTCCCCGCTGCCTTGACGAACGTGGGGTCGTTCAGTTTAATTGTCACGGTGTCACCCGCGTGTCACCCAGGCGCCCTTGGCACGCGCTTGTGCTGCCGCTTGCCTCCGTTTTTGGAACGTTTTTGGCGTTTTTGGTGGTTTCGGTGACGTCGTGCGAGGCGCAGAGCAGCAGGACGGTCTCCCCTTCCTCAGGATTTTAACCTGGACGGGACGAGCCGCGTTCCTGGCCCCGGCACCCTCATGCAAGTGAATTCCCGGAGTGTTTTCCGCAGCATTCGGGATTTGTTCCCGTTGTTAATTGTCGGATGAGCGCCCACATCGCGACGATTTCCTCRCATCTCCTCCTCTTCCATCCGCGCGATGCTCCGGAGTCGTCGCTGCCGTCGTTTTTGCCCCCGCAAAATTTATTCTGAATAAACAGAATTACTCACAAATTGTCGTTTTTCTCCCCACAGCGCTCTGCTAAAAACTTGCAATCCCGAGACCTCAGGTGCCCCTCCACGCCGTCGCCGCTGGGAGATCCCGGAGACCTCGATGTCCATAGGTACGTTCCCCTTTTCCCCTCGCCTCCCTTCCAGGAGGAATTCTTCCCGCTTCCCAACCTGGGAGCAGAAATATCCGCCCAGGTACATTAGGGAGCCAAAAGTCTCTTAATTTCAGCCATTAGAAATAAATTAGAAATAAATATATTAGAAATAAATAAATTAGAGATAAATAGAAGGTCCCTGTTACCCGGATAATGGATATTTGTGCTGTCCCAGTCGTGATTCTTCCTGGGTGACATCCGAGGAGGACAGAGCTGCCGTTAGACTCCAAAATCGCTCGGTTTGGCAGGAAAACGTCCTTCCCACTTCCCTGGTACTCCTCAAAGCGCAGGAATCGTTTCAGCCCTATTCTCCCGACAGCAGCTTGTCCTTGGGAGCGTTTGACACCCTGGTTTGTGCGGCTGGAATAACGTGTTACCTGTTAACAGCCGGAGGACGTAATCCGTAACCGGGAGCGGTAGAAATACACCCYGAGGGGAACTTTGATTTGCCGCTTGTCACAAAAGTCCCAGGTTTGTGGGTTGGCAGCTGCAGGTGCCACTTGAGCGGGCACCGTCCTGCTCTTGCCAGGGCAAACTGTTAAATAATCCTTTAATAAACGCTTGGCTCAGGGGAGAGGAGAAGGAAAYGGCTTTTACAGGTTCGGTTTTTCCCTGGGAGATGGCTCCGAAGGGCTGGAAGGACATAGGAGTAGCAAGAGATGAGCCTAGAAGCCAAGAAATTAGCTCGGATGTAAAGACCTGGGCTCTGCCTTGGGACAAACCTYGTCACAAATCGTCCCTTGCGCTCAGCCCGAGCCCTTTAACCACGAAAATGTGAAGCTGAAACCGTGCGAGAGGCGAGTTCCCCGCTAGCGGGTTGCTGCGAGGGCTGCGGTGGAGCTGGAGATAGGCGAAAACCAGTGAAAACGGGGGCAACTGCTCAAATGCAGGTTTTCTGCTCCAGTCTCTTTGTGCTGYTGTGTAAATCCTGGCGTGTTCAGCTGCATTTTAGACCTAAAAGCTATTGCTGCTCTCACTGAGGTTGAGAGAGGAGGCRATTGAGGGACTCCAGAACGAGTCCTCAGTGCCGCGATTACCTAACGCCGCCCTTCTTTCAAGCTGGGCGTCTTGAAGCCTGAAGAGCCCGTGTTTTTGTGTAAAAAGCGCCGTTTCTGCCGTCCCTGSCCGTTGCGCAGGCTGGCTGGCGGAGGAAGGTGCTCCCAGGGTGCAGATGTGGGTGCAGCTCCTTGGCGAGGCCAGATAGGTGTTTCCACGGGCCAAGGCCGCTGCGGAGGGGCGGTCGCCAGCGCCTCCGGCTCGGCTGCGGCGCAAAGCGCCCGCGTTCGGGACGCTGACGGAGACTCCGTGTCCCTGCCTGTGTGCCCGGTAAGTCTGACCTGCCSGTGGCCCTGGCTCAACGCGTTGGGAACCACTGCGGATTTGCTCCTCTCTTCAAACTGGAATTACCTGGCAAAAACTTGGAGATGCTTCCCTTATTTATTTATTTTTCTTTTTCCGTGATTCAGTCTGTTTCCTTGGAGCTGTTAYGGAGCCACACAGACTTTTGGGGCTTCCTGGAGGGCTGGTGGACAGGGAAGGGGTTGGACTCGCTCCCCTGCTCCATCCTAGCAGACCCTCTCTGCCCTTCAAATGAAAATATTGCAGCGATTTTCCTCTTATCATGAGCATTTGTTAATACAAAGATTCATTTGGTCCATAAGATGCTTTTTTTCCCCYTTTCCCCCATCACTTTGTCTTGGAGAGAATGCACTTGGCTTCTCAATCYGCCGTGTTTACCAAATACCATATAAGTTAATTATAAATAAACACCCAGGCAACCACAAATTGCTAGAACAAATCCGAGGGAAATGCCCAGCGTCCCGGCGGAGCGAGGATTGGGAAGGCGGCGTTGGCGGCTCCACGTGGAGGCAAGGAATTCCGTGCCCCGCGTGCTCTGTGCTGCACCCCGAGCTCAAGCGGCGATTAAAAGGACCGTAATTAATCACGATTGGGCCGGATGGCTAAAAATCATCTCCAGCCGCGTCTTAAAATCCATTTAATTTGTGAGAAATGCCCTGAATGTGTGTCACGGGATTTCCCTGGAGATGGGAAAAATTAGGAAATACAAAGGACGCCGCTAACGCTGGATCTTACCTGAAGTAGTTATAATATTACCCAGCTTTTTAAAAGGAGGGATATCAGGGTATAAAATGTATGTTTTTATGCCTTTTCCATTGTTCTGCCTTTCCCAATGGGTATGAATGATATCCCTATGGTATCTTTTATATCATTTTATACCCTCCGTTCTGCCAGGTGATAAGGGCAAATATTAGCTTGGTGGTTCCTTCCTTTAAAAAAGGAGCCCCAGATTCCCAATAATGGTGCCTGGTTTTCCGTGGCTCGGAGAAGCGGGAGCTCTGGAGCGGATAACGCCGCGTCCTGCTCTTCTAGCTGCGCTTTAATTTATTTTACCTGCCTCGCACGCGAGGAAATCGTTTCTTACTTAATCTGGCCATTAATCTGTGGTTTATATCCCGTGGAAGCTACGGCAAAACTGCATTTTTTAAGCAAAAATGCAGCGACGCTGCCGGGTTTTGTGTCTCTAACCCATTCTAATGGGGCTCTGAGCAAAGGAGCTTGGTAGAGCTGAATGCAACAAATATTCTGTACATTAACTAGGCATTATATTTACAGAATTCGAAATCCTAAAAAAAAAAATATACGTTTCCCATTTTATTGTATTTTGAAATAAAATAACTTCTGTTTTAGCAGCCCTTTGCTTTCTGATGGCCCTTTCCAGCCRAAGCCGCCTCGTGGCAGAGGTTTCCTCTGAGCTGGTATTTGCTGTTTCGCTTTGGCCTCCCAAGAGCTATTAAACATTAATTGCAATTATCCGTCAAAGGGAAAYGGACGTGTTGCTTCAGATGAAGCCAAAATGTATATTTCTTTCAGAAAGGCTCCTGTTAAAGGAGATTAATTAAGTAAAACAAAAAAGATTACACCTGAAATATTGCTCCAGTTGCAAATACGCTTCCAAAATCTAAAAGGAGACTGTGTTTTTAACAGCTGCATTGTGCTCGAGGAGGCCTGAATTGGCTCAAAATAAGCAGAAACCCCAGTTTTACCTGAAATACGCAGGGCGCAGCATAAGAAAGACCCATTTCCCTGTGTATTTAACTTAAACGGGTTTCCGAGCMATGGGGTTGAGCTTTTGCAGTCTAAATTTGGACACTTTTGTGCCTGTTCSGAGCGGAGCGTTTGGGTCTAACCCCAATCCCTGAAATTACCGTTTGATGGTATTTTCAAATAAGCAAAAATGGGGTGTTTGAAACCACTTTGGTGTCGGCACGAGGACATTGCTCCCGGTCACCAGATTGGGTAAACGCGTGCGGCGGGTCGAGCTGGAGGGACCTAAGGGGCCTGGAGAGCCGGGCGTTTGCCGCTGCTGTGACGTGGGTGCAGGTCCTGCTCCCGCCTCCCAACCACGGGGCGTCCTTGTGGGAATCGGGCTTTAACTGGACCCGGTTTGCTCTGATTCGCCCCGAGGGCGCGGCGAGGCCGCCGGCCTCCCGAGCCCC